TGCAAAGTTCAATGACTAATGGGGAAACATTTGAAATTTAGTGATCCCTTGAAAACTATTCGTTAAGTTCATTGACCAATCAGGTAATTAACTCCCTTTTTAATTATTGTTAGAGATTCAAGGGAACAAGCATGATATTTTGATTAAGCTTTAGATTAGGGTATTTATCTTGTTGCAAACTATTGTTTCTAGTTTGTTTTTTATTTGATTAAAAGAAATAATATAATTGAGAGTTTTACTTTAGCGCTCTGTAATCCGAATCGTTATTATGTGAAATCGACGATGTATTAATTAAGAATCAATTCTTGATATTTATGTGAGGAAAACCGAATTTTGATTATTAAGTTTCTGATATTTTTACAAAGAACTAAGGAATATTTAATTATTTTATTTGTAATTGCCTTTTGCTATATTATATATATCAAGATTTTCAATTTTTGCACACAAGGTGCGTAGGCTAACCTTAATAAATTGAAAGAAGTTTGTGGTTGCGCTTGTCGACAATGTTGAAAGATGTAAAGTAGAGGTAGTTGTAGCAACGGTTTCGAAATTTTGTTTTTTAAGTGGATTTTTCATTAATCTTCAATTTGTGCAGTTCCATATCTTTCAAATAGTCACATTACTAGAAGGCGAAAAACGTCAGTGCATTCGTTAGTTGACCTAAAAAATTAACCAAAAAAAATTGTATTTTTTTACCAACTATACCATATACATTTTCATCCCTTCCTATTATACTCTCAAAAATAAAAAAATGTCAATTATTTATACATTTTCACTTCCGATTATTTCATGATATGATTGTATACGATCATCTTCTAAATAGATTCTAAAGAAACCCATGTTCTCGATGACAATCCTTTAGATATTGCTTGTCGTCTATTAGGCGTTCTTTTTGAACCTGTGTACAGTTATTGTTGTTGGAATTTAAAAAATTCCTGGTTTGGGCATGATGGTTATTTGTTTTCCAAGGAAAATCCTAGTTATTTCAACATAAGGCAACAACATGGTGGAATGTTATTCGGAAAGATGTGAAATTTTGCGTATGAGCATGGTAAAATAAGTTATTTAGACTACGTGTACTTCGATTTCTTTAATAAATTTTTCTAGGCAACACCATGAAGATATTGGAGTATTTTCAGAAGATGAAGTATCTTTATAAAATTGAAAAGAGGAGATCGAGTGAGGCATCATTCTGATTGGTAACTGATGTAGATTTTATGAATTTAGTGAAGGTGCTTGATGAAAAAAGGACAGCTGAGTTGTATTGTTTTTCTGCAGTTGAAGTGTTGGAATTGTCATGGAATGAAACTTTAAGTCATGATATTTTTGTTGTTGGTGTTGTTGAAATCGGTAAACATTAGGAGAATGTGGATGAGATTTTTGGAAAAACTCGTGACAAAGAAATTGAGCAGAAATCATGTTATACTGTTGAGATTTATGATGAGACGTTAGAGGGTGATGAATTGTATGTTGCTGATGAAGTTGGGAGTGAAAGTGCATATGATGAAATAGAAGTCAATGATGTTAAACACAACTATGGGAGAGCAAAGGCTGAATCACCAACAACCGGAAATTAAAACATGAGCTACTCATGGGGCTACGTCAGAGGTAACTGAGGTTGATGAACCTTAGGATGAAGTCTATGAGGCTCAAAATCCTACTGATGAAGTAAGTAGCCAAAGAAGAAAGGCTGAAGTACGTGGTGATGAAACAGAAGTAAATGGGGGAGGAAACTCATGTTGGTGAAGTTGAGATGGTGGGTGAAGAGGTACGTGTTGATGGAGTACCTGTGATGGAGGAAACTCATGCATTTTTCTCAATTCTTTTCAACCACATATTTTTCATTAAAATAATATTATACGTAAATAAAAAAAATTTCATCCACATATTCTCCCTCAATCTACTATTCTAAAATTTATTTTTCCTTCAAAATGAGTGTCAAACACCCTCTTAGTAACGAATTTTAAAATAGCGTAGCTCATACTTTAGAATTGGGTAATTAGCACAAAATGTCCATACCTTTCAATGTTTTTTGAAAAGGTCCCTACTTTTTTTTTTTGGCGGATTACACCCTCACCTTTACTTTTTTTTTGCGCAAAACGTCATTCTGTCAACTCCCCGTTAAAATGCTCCGTTAAATAAAAACGGTAATTAGCACAAAATGTCTCTACCTTTAAATATTATTGTGCAAAATATTTTTACCTTTCATTCTTCTTAGTATAATTAGTACAAAAGGTCCATACCTTTCAATGTTATTGTACAAAACGTCCCCACCTTTTATTTTTAGCATTTTCACCCCACCTTTTACATTTTATTGCGCAAAATGTCATTTTTATATATTTTTTCAATAAAATGAGGATTTTACCCTCCTATTCAAATAAAACAAAAAGAAAAGAAAAGAAAAATAAATAATTAATTGTAATCATAGTCCTAAATCTTTCAAAACATTATAGACAAGTCCTAAATTCTCTACTACCCCCACTTTCACAACCCATCACGCCACCACTTATTGATCCATATAGCGCCATCTTTTAGCCACAACACCTATCGGACTCCACCACCACCAGCCTAGCCCCACTCTCCCCAATATCCTCCTCCATAGTATTGGTCACCAATCTATCTGAAACAACCGCATTTACGGTGGTGGAGTTCGTGGGCATGGCAGTCGAAAGGTGGTGTTATGTGGATTTATAGTTGGCAGTTTGATAGGTTGTGAAAGTGGTGGTGGTTGAGAATTTATGATTTCTTTGTAATTTTTTAAAAATTTAAGGACTATGAATGCAGTTGGTAATTCATCTTTTCTCTTTGTTTTATTTGAATTGGAGGGTAAAATCGTCATTTTATTGAAAAAATGGATGAAAATGACCTTGCGCAATGAAAGGTGAAAGGTAGGGGTGAAAATACTAAAAAATGAAAGGTATGAACGTTTTGCACAGTGACATTGAAAATGTAGGGACCTTTTGTGCTAATTATGCCAAAAAATGAAAGGTAGTGACGTTTTGCACAATAATATTGAAAGATATGGACATTTTGTGCTAATTAACTTTTGATTTAACGGAGCATTCTAACGAGAAGTTGACAGAATGATGTTTTGTGCAAAAAAAAAGGTAAAGGTAAGGGTGTAATCCGCCAAAAAAAGAAAGGTATGGATCTTTTCCACAAAAATATCGAAAGTTAGGGATGTTTGGTGCTAATTACCCTTTAGAATTTATTAAAACTTTTAAAAAGATTAAATTATATATATGCCCTTTTAGGTAAATTTTCAATTTATAATTTGTTGTACTAATTTTTTTTATTTGTATATATTACTTATAAAAAAAAAAATAACAAGTATCAATTTTTTCACTCTCTTATGGACGATGCAATAAAGAAAGGGTTAAAATCGGAGAAAAAAACCCCCAAGCATTAGGACTGTAAGTAAAAATCGTAAAATCGAAAAATCGAACCGAAACCTTATTCTAGAAACCTTCGGTTTGGTGCCACATGGACCCAATCAATGAAATGGTTTTGAACCAAATCAAACCGGTCAAAATAGTTTGGTTTAGGTTTGAGAATTTTAATTGCGGTTTAAAATCAAACCAGACCGACAAAAAAATATATAAAAATAAAAAAAATGGAAAAATGAATTTTTTTGAAAATTCATCCAAATATGTAAAATTCAATAGTTTTGTCATTTGTGAATATTTTTGTCAATTTCTAATTTTCTAATATAGATATATTATTATTATCAAATAATCCTAATTTATATCTAATAATTTCAAGACTAACATAATCTATCAAAAACTCTTTTCCTATTTAGAATTTAGATGAACTCCAACCGATACCCAACACAGTCTTGAGCTACCGGCACCACACACTTCTTTTTCAGATTTTTCACGCCTCTTCAAAGTTGAATTGAAATCTATTATATCAAATCGGAGACAAAGAGATCCTATACTTTTAGTGATAATATTTGTTACAAATAAAGTTTCAGATCGATAATTTTTTTGGAGAAAACTAAGATAAAAATATGAAATTAAATGCGTTTTGTAATATCAGACAAACGTAAACTTGTGTAATTGTTATATTTAGATATTATAAACAATCGCTTTATTATTGTGGTTGGTTATTTTCTTTGTCTAATTAGTATCATTTTTTCAGATATGATGATTACCAGGTCTTGTTGGACATCATTATGTTTTTTGACCTTATATTTAGTTTAGTAGACTTATATTATAACGTTATTATATCATCATTAGTCTAAAAAAGGTGAATAAAAATGAAAAAAAATTATGTTTTAATTTATTGTGATTTCACTTTAATTTAGTTGGTATTTAAATTTATAATAGATATATTTAGCTCCTATTTGAGCTATATTTTTCATATCATTATAATGAGAAAATTGACTATTGGAGAGAAGGGTGGGTCCCACACATGAAACATCAGGTGAACAAAGACAGTTGGACTTGTAATATATCAACCCCAATTTTCATTTTTTTGTCCCAAAAAATTTGGTTCAAACAGGGCTTTAATTTGTTTTAGATTTATTGCTAGTAAGATATAAATATATATTGAATTCAATGAATTAATGACATAAAAGTAGTCAAGCAAAAAATATATGGCGAAATCGGACCAAACCGTTAGGTTTAGGTTTGAGTTTTTTTTTTCAAACCGTTCAAAATGGTTCGATTTAGATTTGGGTTTTTCTCAAATCAATTTAAATGATTTGGTCTAAAAATCTGTCAAAAATCGATAAAATCGAACCACTTACACCACTACCAAGCTGGGCACGCCGGTACGGTATATGAAAATGCAAGGCATAGTGATAGTCATCGATTTAATCATATTAATTAAAGGAGTAACCCAGCTGAATGACACGTACTCATATACGTGTCGTATCGCTTGACGTGTGTCCGTTTCAAACTCTCTAAATACCATGCAAGAACAGCCCAATAACTCCATTCACCTTGACTCATAAACTTCCAAATCTTCCATTAGTTCAAGCAAAACATTAGTTCAATTTTTACCAAATTGAAAATGCAAGGCATAGTCACCGATTTAATCATATTAATTAAAGGAATAACCCGGCTGAATGACACGTACTCATATACGTGTCGTCTCGCTTGACGCGTGTCAGTTTCAAACTCTCCAAATACCAGTATACCATGCAAGAATAGCCCAATAACTCCATTCACCTCGACTCTTAAACTTCCAAATCTTCCATTACTTCAAGCAAAACCATAGTTCAATTAAGCCCAATTCAACAAAAATGGCGTCTCACGATCAAAGCTACAAAGCTGGTGAAGCCAAGGGTCACGCTCAGGTTAACTTATAAACGTTTCTAATTCTGCATCTCAAGAAAAATTCTATCTTAAATGATTTTCAGAAGAGCAGTTCAGACTTTTATATTTTGTGTATATATTTCATCATTATTCTATATGCGATGTATTCGTAGGAGAAAACTGGGCAAGCTACGGATACAATGAAGGACAAGGCACAGAAGGCCAAAGACACAGCTTCAGATATGGCGCACTCCGCCCGGGATCGAACTCAACAAAACAAGGACCAAACTGGCAGTTATCTTTCAGAGAAAACCGAAGCCGCGAAGCAGAAGGCATCTGAAACGGCCCGGGGGACAAAGGAGGAGGCATCTGAAACTGCCCACGCGACGAAGGAGAAGGCGTCGCAAATGGAAGAATCTGGCGAGGAAACTGCACAAGCAGGCAAGGAGAAAACTGAGGGAACTATGCAGAGGGCTGGGGAACAAATTAAGAGTATGGCGGGAGGAGCTGCTGAGGCTGTGAAGCATACTTTTGGCATGGGTGAAACTGAAGAGGATCCATGTAATAAGAGGGATAATTAGTTAGTTTTTGTATTAATTTCTGGGCATGTTTTTGAGGCTCGTAGTCCTGCTTTTGGATACTAATAACTTGTAATAATAATGTCTCAACTCTGTTATAAATGTGACCAGATTTTTAATTATGTTAATCTAATCTATATAATTTAAATTATTTTTAAATAAGTTATTTAAAAATCAATTATTGAATTTATAAATAAAGTTTCTATGGAGCTTTATGTTTTTTTCTTCAAATAAATGACCCTGGTTACATTTGCGTGTGATAGCACCAAATCAAACCCAACACTGCGATTGCTCCACCCACGGACAAATCATTCACCATGGTTGATTGATTGTGTCAGAAAGACTTTTATTCCATCGTCTCAATCGTCCCCCCAGAAGAATATTTGCATCTAAAAGATCTCTCACTAATGGCTCCAACCCCTCTTCGCCTCAGGAAAGGAGGCCTTCTTCGTCTTCCACCTAAGCTGGGTAGGAGAGGCCCAAACCTTGCGTAGGAAGGCTCAAACCCAATACCAGTGACTCAATAATATACCCACAAAATCAAGCAGAAGAATATTTGCATCTAAAAGATCTCTCACTAATGGCTCGAACCCCTCCCCCCTCTCGAAAGGAGGCCTTCTTCGCCTTCCACCTAAGCTGGACAGGAGAGGCCCAAACCTTGGGTAGGAAGGCCCAAACCCAATCCCAATGACTCAATAATATAACCCACAAAATCAAGATTGGTGGATGCAATTGAATCTGAAGAAGAAAGGTAACACTTAAGATCACAACCTCATGGCACCAAGGGAGTAAAAGAACGGTTGTCTCTCAATCTCAATCGCGTCACACGGCTAGTATGAAACAGGAGGCACACGTGTATAGTTTTAGGGCCAGACATTATAGGCCAAAACCGAACACATGACCGGAGCCAAGTGAATTGGGCTAACATAAGATTGGCCCACAAATGGCAAAGTGGGCTAACAAATTGAAGTGCGATCCAACTAATGAATGGATCACAAGCAACACAAATTTATTTAGGGGCAATTTACAAAAATATCCTTAAAATGAGGGATCTTTTGAAAAATCATAAAAGTTTTTTGGAAGAAAAAAATACTATGTAATATTAAAAGTGACACAATGTCACTTTTAAAAGTTAAGTGTCACTTTTTAATAAAAGTGATGTTGTGTTTGTCACTAAAAAAAAATGATAGAAATCAAGAAGGTTACTAAAAAAAATTGACAAACACTACAGAAAGTGATAAAAATTCAAAAAATTGACAAATATTTAAAAAAACATGATGAGTTCAAAAGTTGAGACAAACTAAAAAAGTTATACATATGAAAAAAAAGTGACAAACACTCGAAAAATGATTATTCGAAAAAAAAGTGACAAACTCAGGAAGCAAGTTCAATCTTGATTTTATGATTAATAAATATTATTGGACCAGTGAATTGTACATTTTTCCAAGTTAAAAGTGTCTTTACATAAATAAATATGAAAGAGTCACGACAGAGACATGAGTATCACCAATTTGCTAATCAGAAGGCAACTTTCTAAAAAATTATGATCCCACGTCTAGAAATCTAGTGTACAATACAGAACACAAATTCAAGTTTTGGCATTTAAAATTATGATCCCACGTCTAGAAATCTAGTGTACAATACAGAACACAAATTCAAGTTTTGGCATTTAACTGACACCATTATGCTTTCATCATTTAGTACTAAAAAGCCTTTAAAATGATAAATTCCTCCTCGGGCAGAAATGAAATCTATGGTTAATTGATCACACTAAGATTCTAGAAAGAATTGTTTTCAGAGTTATATCGAATTCTATTGTGGTGGGCGAACGAGAATTGTTGATGTGCATACATCGCCAACACCAATATGAAATGAAAGAGGCTTTCCACGATTATAGCTGCTATTGAAAACCTTCACAATTGATATATACAACCCACATTAACAAGAAAATAATTCTAAGATAGCAGTAACAAACCCACACGAGCAAGCATCAAAGTTTGCTCTAGAGTTCAATCCAATTGTGCAAAATGCTATATTTGATCGAAGGTGAATCCGACCAAGCCTCTCCAGGACCATCAAAATTTTAGGCCTGTGCCTTAACATCGGGACAACTTTGGAAATAGCTGGTAGATTCTTCCTATTTTTCACAATAGCCCTTCTTATTAAAAGTACTATATTGCCCTTAATGAAATTATTTACAAGATCTATCTTATATCTTTAAGGAATTGTCAATCAGGTCCTATATCTATATTTTTCAATTTTTTGAACACCTTTAAGTATTCTTTATATTTTAATAATTCTTCAAAAATTATAGGTTGTCTTTTCTTGGTTTTATATCCTTGAAATAATCCTTCTGAGATTTCTTCTTGTATATTAGTATGTTTAGTTATAATATCTTCTACTTTTCTTATTTCTCTATAAGTTCTCACAGAATCAAATCCTATATTATTCTTACAACTATAATCTATATCTCTATATATCTTCAATTTTTTCTTTACCAATAGGAAATATAACATCAGATTTTACATCTAATTTAACCAGAAAAGAAACATCTTCTTCATCTAAAAATAAAATGAGATTATTTTCATCATTAACAGTGGAAGTGGATGCTTGTGAATTGTTCATGAAAATAATTAAAGCATAAGCATGTAAAGATAAGTAAATAACTTACAGTAATCAAGTGGAAATAAACAGGTTTTCCCTCCAGTATGTTCTTATAGATGCTTTGCATGTACTTAATCAATCTTCTGAATCAAGTAAAGATTTAAAATGTTTTTGAAATCATTTGGGTCCACAACTGCTTCCGCAAAAGGCTTTTCAATTAGGGTTGCATTTCTCATTCTAGAGAACTAGCCGTGTTTCCACAGACGCTATCTCACAGTATCCAGAGTCTCTGTTTTCACCTCTATCCAACCTCTTTTCAGAATCAAGTTCCTACTTGGAATGAAATTTTAAAAGATAACTCACACACAAAGTGCTACAAATTTTTTGTTAGAAAACTGCCTTTTTCCCCTAAACAATTCATCAAAGACGGGTACTTTAGCATGGCTAACATCCATTCAAAATCAATATTTTGAAAATCTTTTAAAATCTCTATCTGTACTACCGAGGAATCATGAGAAACTTAACGAAATCCTTTTATGTAAGCTTTGTTGAACATAACAAACTTTACTTTGATATTCATAAACTGAAATTGTACATGCTTACAAACTATATTTACATACCTTTGGTACTCACCTTATGAAGTTTAGAACTCCATAAGTGATTACCTTATTACACGCTTTCCTATCTTCCAATTATCTAATATTTTTCTGAATACAAGTAGTCTATACAGATTACAAGAAATTTTTCTCCAATGTGTTATCAGAGAATAGAGATAGATTTTTCGAGATATCTTCCTCCTTCCTTCATGCCTCCTTTTATAGAAGATTTTGGAATCTTATCTTGGACAGGTGTTTTCCACCTTTCTTTGTTGGGTAGTTAGGCCATCTTATCTCCACCGAATTCTTCATTGTCTTTTTGATGGGTGGACCTCTTATCTTGAAATTGGATGCCTTATCTTTTATCTTTGTCTGCCACTTGTGACCATTGGTAGGAAGTAGTCACAATTATAGAGACTTTTCTTGATTTATCTTCTGTCTTCTAGTAGCCACAGTTTTTCTTTAATAAATTTCTTTATTAAAGTAGTGATAAAGGGCTACTTTAGTCACCATCACTTCTCCATTTTCGAATCAAAGAATTCTGCAGGGAATTCTTCATCATTAAGTGATGATTGACTCATATATTCAACAACACAGTATTTACAATGGTGATCACTGTAATTTCAAAGTAATTTGCATAGTTCTTTAGCCATATCTTCTGATCCGTGTACTTGGTTGGATATAATTGCAGATAATAAATGATCAAGATAACAAATATCTTCTTCTTTGGTATCCATCCTTGCATTGGAATAAATAATATGATCTTCAGATGGATAAACCCATATTTTTTATTTTTCAGTAATTATTTGAGTTATATGTTCAAATATCTCTTTATACCCTTTTGGCTCTTCTATAGGGCATCACATTAAGAATATCTTGATATCCATTTTTAACAACCTTTTGATTGGCTGGTAAAAAATGTTGATTTGTTAATCCCATTTTGATCACATGGAACGATGGATGTATATATTCAAGGACAGAATCCCATTCCATTGTTGCTGAATGGAATCTGATATATATATTTGTTGTTTTAACAACTTCAGTATATCTCTTGACAGCTTTCCTGATGTTGGCTGGAAGCTGAGCTATTTCCTTGAGATCTTTACTAGGATATATACAAAGTATATTTCCTATTTCAAAGCAATTTCGAACCCAGTTGGCTGGTGCTCCTGAATAAAAGTTTATCTTGTTGTATTTCGAATAGTGGAGAGTCTTCATCCACTTTCCAATCTCCAGATACCAATCTGATAGAATATTAAAAATAACAATAAAAAGTGTTACTTCTTCATGGTTATCTTTTTTGGGCATTTTTGCTTCATGGCATATCTTGACAATATCTTTGGGATCTATCCTTTCAATAGAAAGTTTAGATTGAGTTTGGCTCTGTGAAGAGCTACCTTCTCTTTTGATATCTTGAATATCTCTATTACCAGTAATATGTTTAAGTATTCCCTGTGAAGGGGTTCCTATTACCTTCTTTTCTTTCCCTTTATTCTCGGGGAGAGAGCTAGTATTCACAAGTCCCTGCGAAGGGATACTAGTCTTGGTACAAGTAACTTTTGCATCATGGGCTAAATTCTTGCCTCGAAGGCTATCTTGGATATTTTGAATTTGGGTTTCCAAATAGGAAACTTTTATTTCAAGTATCTGGACTTTCGTCCTTAATTGTTCTAGCTCCATCCCTGCTAAGATAATCAGGAAGAAAGTTAGCTTTTCCTTTAATATATTCAATATCAAATTTAAAATATGAAAACCAAATCTGTATCCTAATTATATATCTATTAGATGGATCAACATTATTTTTCAAGAATGCTTTAACTTGAGTATTGTCAGTTCTAATCAAAAACTTCTTTGGTAATAAATAATCTTCATATTTTTGAACTCCTCTTTTTACAGCAATGAGTTCCTTTCTATTCGTCTCATATCTTGTTTC